ACTTCTGTTTTCTGAGACAATTTACACAATGGCCCTGCCCTCCAGACTCTAGGTATTGGCCACACTCTCCAGATTCTGAGTGGAAGCCCCTCAGCCCTGGACTTCAGCTCTGCCTTCCAGGCCCACTGGGACAGCAACTCTGCTCCCTTGGCTTTAGGCACACCATTCTCCCAGTCCATCTGAGTGGCAACTCCACCTGTAGAAACACCAGAGGCCATGGCTCCACCCTTTGAAACCCCAGAGGTCATGGCCATACTTTTGAGACTGAAGAAGCTCGCTTCTTGTGTCCCTCGTCTCTTCAGCTTCTGTTTCCTGGTTTCTTGGCCTCTTGGCTCCTCGGGCCTCACGCCCGCATCTGCCCTGCTGGGGCAAGTGTTCCAAAGCTTGATGCTCCACCAATAAGTGCCCGGAGGCACCCCACTCCACCAGAAAGCCTCCTGAGCACAGGCACTCAGCTCTCTCACTCTGTGGGTTGGCTCTAGCACCATCTTGCACTGGTCTCCTGGTTCTGCTGCTGTTGGTTCTCTGCCACTGTCACTTCTCTGCTGCTGCAGGTTCTCTGCTGCTGCTGGTCCTCTGCTGTTGCCACTGCTCTGTCCATTCACGGTTTCAAAACCGCTTCCACATTTTAGGTATCTGTTAGAGAAGCACCCCACTCTCTCGGTACAAAATTCTTCCTTAGTCATCTAGTGCTGCTACAACAGAAATACCATAAGCGAATGGCTTTAACAAAGAGAAATTTACTTCTTCACAGTAAAGTAGGCTAAAAGTCCAAATTCAGGGCATCAGCTACAGGGGAATGCTTTCTCTTTCTGTCGGCCTTCTCATCAATGTTCCCCCGGACTAGGGGCTTCTCCGCGCAGGGACCCCAGGTCCAAAGGACACACTCTGCCCCTGGCACTTCTTTCTTGGTGGTATGAGGTCCACGTCTCTCTGCTCACTTCTGTCTTTTATATCTCAAAAGATTGCCTCAGGACACAATCCAATCTTGTAGATTGAGTCCCGCCTCACTAACACAACTGCCGCCCATCCTCCTTCATTAACATCATAGAGGCAGGATTTACAACACATAGGAAAATCACACAGTATCAGGAATCATGGCCCAGCCAAACTGATACACATATTTTGGGGGGGACATAATTCAATCCATGACAGTTATAATAGCAACTTTAAAATCTTTGATAATTCCAATATCTGAGTTATCCCACAGCTCACACGTGTTGATTGTCTTTCCCCCTTGAGAATCAGTAAGACGTTCTTGGTTCTTTTTATTTCAGGCAATTCTGGATTGTATCTTATACATTTTCAATTATTTTGTTATGAGACTCTAGGTCTTGTTTAAATCCTGTGGAGAATGTTGGCTTTTTTGTTTTAGTAGGAAATTGTTCCAGTTAGGATCAAGCTGTAAGTTGCAACCTATATTCTGTGGGCTGTGGTTCCAATGTCAGTTTTCAAAGATTTTGTAGTACTATTCAGATCTGTCCTGCGTGTGCACCATACAGGGACCAGTCTGAGATCTGAGCAGTGGTCTATTCTTTAGTACAGTTCTCAAAGCCTCCGATAATGCTGTTTAAGGTCAAATCCGTACATGCACAATTCATGAATAAGCTCTTATGAGTTCATACACAACTTTATAGGATCCGTTTCTTGAGTTCCCTTCTTTTCCCAATCTCCTCCATACTCTCCAGCTTCCAGGGAGCCTCCTTCATGGTCTTCTGGCTAAAAAAGATGTAATTTTAATATTCTCACTCTAATATGCACTTCCTATGATTGGGTCTGCCTTTGAGGACAAGTCATGAAAAGATATATATAGAAAAAACTGCAATCGGGATTCCTTCCACACTCTTTGGACCACAGTTGCACTGGCCAGAGAGAATTCCAATTTCTCAGGTTTTTGGGTATCTGTTCAGCTGCTGCCATTGCCACCAGATTGCAACTTTGGAACTTTAACTTGCCTGAGGACAGCACCAAGAGAACTTAGTCCATTTACCCAATTCAGAAGCTCCTCTTTTACTATTAAAAAAATTTTTTTATTACTGATTTGTAGATTTTTTTTTTTTTAATATTCTGGATACAAGTGCTTTGTCAAATATATATGTATTGCAAATATTTTCTTCCAATCTAGGGCTTGACTTTAATTTTCTTAATAGTGTTTTTTTTTTTTTTTCCATTTCTGTCATGGGAGTTTTTTTTTAAATTGTAATTTACATGAAAATTTACAGAACAAATAGTTTCTTATTAAACAGTTAGTACACATATTGTTTTATGACAATGGTTAACAATCCCATGACATGTCAACACTGTCCCTTCTCAACCTCGGGTCCCCTATTACCAGCTTTCCTGTCCCCTCCTGCCTTGTAGTCCTTGTCCCTGGACTGTTGTGCCCCATTAGTCTCATTTCTTAATAGTATTTTTGATGAAATTTTGTTATGATTAGGGCTTTGGGTATCTTTTTTTTTTTTTTTT